GTTCTCGGTCGATCGCTGTTGCCGTTCTTCAATGTCACACAGCCAGTGGCCGCCCACGGAACTGTGTCGCCCTCGATTACCCTCGTTGTCCTTCAGCGTCGTCCACCGTTCAAGCGTACTGTAGCCAAGCGAACGTTGATGCTCAGGTAGAATCGCCGTGCGAGCGCGACGGTGAAACGTTGGCTTGGCGTCGAACGTTGCCGTGGTCGTAAACGCGTCAATTATGAATTTAAAGTGATCCAAAACTGGTTTGTCGTTTCGTGGAATTCACTGGCTTGTAAAATGGCCCAAACGATGAATGAAAAGCGTTTTGTCCGACGACGGCAATTTTGTTCACTTAATTGATGTCTATTATAGTTCACAAAGACCGAAACGCGCCGTACGTCGTCGTTTGCGGCGTTTCTGTGCGCGACGCTACGATGGCAACGACGGTGATCGATTTCACACCGAAAGGGAACGAAGGATGGGAAGACGGTGGTTGGTCGTCGTCGATCGCCGGTTCGGTCACTGGGGGAGGTAGGGGGACACTTCCGTCGATAAGAACGCACTCGACTCGTAGCCTAACCAACGTCCACCAACCGTTCTTCCTCATTTGACTTATTTGCGGGGGCGGTGATCGTTTTAATTTACGACCGTTCACCATTGTATACAGGCGGCCATGTTCTTTTCTTCAAGCGTTGCGCAATCGCCGCTTCGCCGGCAGATGACCGAAAACGTCGGCTTAATCTTAATCCCACCTTTGATCTGCTTTCTTGTGATTTACAGCGGATCCCCGGTGACACGCCGTTGTTTATGCGCCTACCAGAGCGATTCGTCATTTCTTCCGCTAATGGCGTTCGTTTTTGCAAAGTGACACTTGACAGCGCCGCGGTCGACAAGCGACCGCCGGTGCGCGCGCTCTATCATTTCCTGTACTACCGTAATCCCGAACAACTCCCTGCCCCTGCCCGTCGTGGCTTACAGTCGCCGTTTGCTCGGGTATCGTATGCAAGTCAGCTGTTGTACCGACGCACTAACCATCCGCCCTTTCCATGCCATGTACCGAACAGTACCGTGACTTACTGCTGTTACTTCGGGTAACGGCAATGCGCCGTGGTCCTCTCGCCTCGCCCAACTTACTGTAAGATATATTGTCGGTGGTAACAAATCACATTTTGACGAGTGGCGAACGCAGTCATTGCCGCCGTGGATACTTTCGCCAC